ACATGTGAGATTCTGGATGGTGTCTTGAAGGTCACTGCATCTTCAGAATTTTGGGATCGTTTTGGGATCACCCATGGAAGGACCCTCTTTTTTTTTGGGGGGGGTGGAGCCCATCGCTAGTAGGTTGGAGGCCATCGCCATGGTTATTGTTTGGGAACCGGTGCTTGTTTCCATCTCCCATGGCACCTTGTCTTGACGAGTCCGGAGCGGAGACCCAACTGTAACTGTTGCGCAGGACACCGGCAGCTCCAATCAAGTTTCTCATGTTTCTTCTTCATATGGGGCCAGCTTTGCTCAGGGACCTGAAAATTCGGCAGGACCTTCCAGACCTTGCAATTCTCTTCCAGGACCTTCCAACAGGTCATATTGGGACCCGAAGAAGTGGTGTTTGGATACCTGTCACCAGGAAACACCTGCTGAACGTTGGACTGTTGGAGGGTCCAGGTTAAAGTGTATATAGTTTGTATGCGCACATGCTGCAGTTGCCTTGGAAGTCACCTCTCGCGAGCACGTCGCGTTGTTGACAGAATTGAATGAACCGGCAAGGTTGGAATCCTTGGAAGTCAAAGTATTTTGGATCTTTGAACCTCCATGTCCAATCGAAAACAGACGATTCATTCGACCGTTGGGTCTTGGGGAACAAACCATCACAGGAATTGTTCCACCTGGATTCAAGAAACTACAGGAATTACGGAAGAGCAAACATAAGAATAAACTCATTTTTTTGTGAAGTGGGAGCTTGGTGAGGTTTTGGTGTTTTCAATCTGAAGTGGACTAACCTGGCTAAGACCTCGGTAGGAAGAGGCGCGCGGAGTGCTACGTCTGTGCAAACCAAAGAGGGAGACCAGAGGGCCCAACCGGTCAACTTGGGGCCAGGTCGTGTGAGGCCGCTCGTCCGTGTGAGTTGGTGGGACATTCTCAGAGGACCCTAAGGAGTTGGAAGTTCCGGGGAAGACATCCGATGAGCCTCGGGGCGTCGAGTCAGATCATCGGAATTGAACGGACGATGGGGGCATGGAACCGAAACTGCCCATTGGTTCTTGGACATGTTCTGAGGATGGTCTATAAACCTTTTTCTTGTTCGACGTTCTTGCTATCAACAAGACCCAAGTTTTGGTTGGAGAACACTGTGGTGCTGCTGGTGCCTTTGCAAGATGTCTGCCGCAAACCAGTGTGTGCTTGGACTTCTGCTTACTTTAATTTGCACCTGGCCGGTTAATGGCAAGTGAGGAAGTACAAAAACTACAGTAACTCGAAGGTGGATGGCATCTTCTTCTTCTTCTTCTTCTTCTTCTTCTTCTTGGCCCCACTAAAAGAATGAACTCCTCAGCATCACAGGGTGATTGTTTCGCTTGTTTTTTGCCTACTCCTGTGCCAGAAGAACCAGAACTTTTGAAGATTGTACGGAACCTTTGTCGCACCAGGATTTCAAAGGTGCGGCAACCCCGGAATCTCTGAATGTGTGGCGCTTCATGGTTTAGATCTGTTTTGAAGCTTTGTGAATCGATGGAGCTGTTCAAAGCTGCTGGGATGGGGATTGGGATGGTCCACACATTTTCAGAGAAGCCCTTACAGTGCCTTACAGGTCTTCACGTGAGACATCACTGAGGGCAATAGTCGAACGTCGCGTGCTTCTTAATTCAATGCAGAACGCAGATGGGAGGGAGAGCTTCTTCGAGGGCTTCGAGCCCTTCGATCTCGACTTGGAGTTTTGAATGATTCGGGTCTCGGTTCACATGGGGGTAGATCTTGATGGATTTCCTAGGTTTTGGTAGTTTCTTAAGAACTTAAGAGGACACATATTTTGGTGGTCATAATTATTTGTGTGTATTCTTGTTTTGTCTATAAATATGTATGCCATCTCATACCTATTTGCTTGTTTTTCATTTATATACGCGTCATTCCTTTTTTAGATAGTCTTAATCTGAAAAGACAGTAGTTGCTTTGTTTGACCACACTTCAGCGTATAGAAGTACATTTACACGAGCACGCAGACAAGAGATTCTCATACGGTTGGAAGACATTCGACCTCCAGCTGTCCATGAGCAAAAGTGTATGTTTACGCTCCGAAGCCTGGTAAGCACGTTCACAGATATATAGAATAAGATGAAACCTATGGCGACGACAGAACTGTGTGATCAATCTAACGGGAAAACCAGCGACCTCAGTCGGCAGTTGTATCGCTCCAGTGCCTGGTTGCTTCGCGAAGCACGATTCTTCACCACGCAAGCGAAACATACCGAAACACACATGCCTGGAAACCCAGTCCGAACCAGAAACAAATGGGTGTTTTCACAGTCCCAGCCACTTGTGCAACTGATCAGCCATTTGTTTCTGGTTGGGACTGGGTTTCCAGGTGGTGGCTTTTGACCCTTTGGCCCTTTGGGGAGCTTCCAAAGTAGGTCCACACTCCGAAACGCTGCCCTGTCCGAGCGGGGGACCCTTCCCATCGGCGGACAGAACGAGGGAGCCGGTGAGCTGTCCGAGCTGTGCTTGATGATCTCCAAGATCGGAGGCTTTTTCTGAGCGAGAGAGAGGTCTTAGGGTTGAACATTCCCCTGACCTGCGAAGGGCTAATGATTGCTTGTCAAGAAGGGATTCTTGGGAGCTGATGCCTTCACAGCATTGAGGATCAGAAAGTCAGTCTTGGAACAGTTCTTGCCGATCTCCCCGATGACAGTAAGACATGCGGAGAACTCCGATCGTGTCAAAATATCATGCCAGGAGGGAACTGGAGGAAGAAGGAGCATTGAAGACGGCGAAGAAGACCAAATAGGGTGAGACTATAGTGTCATTATAGTGTACACTATGAGTAGAAACATCTTAAAGCAACATGAAGCAACACCCCCTCGCCCAAGAAAAGGATGGCGCATGACGTTGCCACCCTCCTGTTCACTTTGTGCGTGTTTCGTTCAGATTTGAGCATGACGCGTTGGTTTATTCTTCTTTGGGCGTGACTAAGGTGGGTGTGACAAGAACTTCACTCTCGAAGATCACGTCCCCGGCAGTTCCTGCTTTAGAAGAACTGGTGGACCTTATTTTTTCTAGAACCGTGGAGGGAGTGTTTGATTTCGTTTGATCCCGAGCTCTGGTGGATGGAGCCGCGCACTCGTGAGGCCCAATGGTGGCAGGGTGGCCCCAAACATGATCCAAAGAGACACGCCGAACATGGACATGGAGAGTGGCCACTGGGATAGCTGATAGTAGGGAAACTGCCCAGCAATGCGCTTGCCCATACATGCCAACTTCTCACATGCCCATACACTGGCATCCCCAACCAATGGGTTTGAGTCACTTTCTTCCACAAAGATGAAGTCCAAGTCGATGAAGTCGTGTTTTTTTTTGAAAATGGCAGTCATGGTTTTCGCAGCAGCGGTCGTCCATGGCTTGAACTTTCGATGCAACGATTTGGTGCCCGCGATGTCATAGAAGGAACGTCTCGCTTGTTTCTCCAGTGAGGCAGAGAGGAGAGTGCACAGAACTTGTTTCACGCACTCGTGTCACGCACTCGTGTCACGCCCTTTTCGCACGAGTGAAAGAGGCTGAGAACGGCGGTGTGCGCTCCGCAGGGTAGATGCGCGAACGGTGTCTTCACGGTGCTTCTTGCTTCTTGCTTCCCATCCCACAACCCGTCACCATCCAGCACTGGAGTCTCAAGATGTCCGTCTCCACTTCGGCACTGGGAGTATTCACTGTCCGTCTCCGGGCCAGAGCTCTTCCCACGACGAGACCCGAGGTCCCGAGATGCTGAAGGTCACCGGCCTCGCGCCGCAGGAGCGGGAGCAACCGAGCGACGTTCACGTGCGGCGGGGGGGACGTTGGACGGTTTTTGGTCAGACCTCGATGGAGTCGACGAATCCGCTTCAGTCGAATGGATAGATCATGCAGATGGAGCGAACGGATTTCCCGGATCATCGGCAGATGGATCTTTTGGGAAGGTTTAGCTGCTGCGAACTTGGACTCGGCTGTGAACGTCTTGGGTCTGCCCTGAAACGTTTTTTCCACCGCTGCCGCAGGTGAGGTTCTTGAGTGATGTGCTGGCATCTCAGGAGAACCGAAGCGGCGCTTCGATGCTATGATCCACCAGCCTTCCCCCAGCCCTCCAAGACCAAAAGAAGACATGAATTGGTGCAATCAAAATACATGGGTTTCTTCAGGATTCGGCCAGCGATGGCCTCCAACCTAAGAGCTATGGCCTCCAACTTGAATGACTGGGTCAGGAATTTGGCTTTAGGATGCTTTAGGTGACTTCTCTCCGGTCAACCCAACCTCAACCCAACCGTGCGCCCCATGTCAGGGCCCTTCCGCACGCGCTCGTTCCGTCAGGTCCAACATCTCTGTGCGGGGCACCGGCTTCGAGTGGTTCCGGGTCGTCCGGGGCTCTGGGACCCGGGTGGCGAGTTGACTGGAAGACATGGCGAGTTGTGTTTGGTATACCAGCGGTGATCTCTACCGTATATTGGGGTGATATGATGACTAGTACGGTGATGTCAATTATCATGTCGTGTTCCCTTTCTTTTTTTTCAAGGACAGCGACCTGTGAGAATGAAGAGACGGAAGAGTGGTTATGGTGGTCCACATCAGGTCAACTATTGAAAAAGAAAAACAGGAAACAGCAATGGAACGCATAGATGGTTGTTATATGTTGTTAACTTGTTATTCGCATGCTTGGGGTGACCAAATTGCTTTATTGAGGCGTTTGGCACGGTCTTTTGTTCCAAGTATCGTTCACGGATGCTGGTGCAACTTTGGGAAATACCATGGGATTCTTAACACAGGGTGCATTTTTAAATATTGTTATCGTAAGTTTTTGCTGTTTGTTTTCTCTTTTAAACCTATATTGATTGATTTTATTTGTTTTAAAGTCAGCTTTGCATTCTGTGAAAGCAATCGGAAGTTTTGAGTTGGTGACCAGGCGGCACAGATTGGGACTTCGTATCGTACATGTTCATTTTTCCCAGGTTTGCAGTGGATTGTAACCACTATATAAGGAACCAGGGTTTCTAGGTCGGTTTTGGTCTGGAACTACTGGTGACCAGCTATGATGGTTTGCCTGGATGCACTGGGAACCGATGCACCAAACGCTTGTACGTACGTATTCGCGCGGCGCGTTCGGTCGAGTTTCTGCGCCCGATCTGTGGAGTTTCTGCGGGATCTGTGGAGTTCAAAGATACCGTTTTGATCCTTTAAGACCTCGGAATCCATGTGGAAAGCATGTATCCATGTATCTGGAATACATGTCATTGTACGCACAAAATGGCATGAAGTGGTGCGTTCGCAACCTGCGGATGACGTGTCCTTTTGTGGCGATGACGCGATGTCGCATGGGGACCGCGCGAAAACGGCCGATGTGGCCAGACCGGGCGGCCTCTTGGCGGCACTACTGGCTGAGGCACTCGACCTGACATGTGATCACCTTTCACCGGACCGGTCCCTGCAAGCTGGGTCGGACCGGGCCGCCATCTGTATACTCTCTTGGAATTTCTTGGGCACGCCAGCTCCGTGTCCGGGCATTTTTCTGACTCTCAGTACGGACGGGCCCCGCCGTTTTTTCCAGGCGCACCTTCCGTACGCTTGGGCGATGGAAGGCAGTTGGAAGCCGGGCAGTCTGCGGATGCGGTGTGAGTTCGGTGAGCGTCAGTCACTGTGTGGTCATCTCTCCTTTCATCCTCCGGTCGCACCAGGTAGACCAAGGTGAGACGGGGGAGACCCCGCCGCTGATCGCCGCTGATCAGTGGCCCTTGAATTACTCCCATTGATCCTTCATCGAGGACACGCGCCAGCGTGCGGATGCCCCAACCCACCTCTGCCCTGGACGAAGATAGGGTGGTTGAGGATTTGGACTTGGCACGGCTGGCAGCTACATTGTCAGGTTGGCTGAACTTCTCCGGGTCCTGCCGGCCTGCCGGAAAACCAGATCCTACCTACGAGGACTGGAATTTTCGGTGGCCCAGATCGCAAGGGTAGATCAACAGGGTGGGTACTCTGGCTTGCACCAACCAAAATGAGTGGCATCACCTCGGTCTGATGAATCCAGAACCACATCTTGGGTCCCCACAGCCACAGCAGCCCAGCCCAGCAGCCCAGCCAGCCCACCACAATCCAGCCACAGCAGATGCGAAAACTGGCTGTCGCCGCACGATTGCAGCGGACCCGCAGGAGACCCGCAGGATGGGAGGGTGGAAACTCTGCACAGGTCACGGTCGGTTGGGGTTCTCCAGAAGTGGTGGGCGATGTGGATGAGCTGTCAGGACCGCTGTCGTTTTTGTGCGCCAACCTACATCCGTCACTGAGGAGAAAGTCCCCCGCGCCCAAAACAGGCGTGGGACTGAGCCGGATCCCCATCTGTACTCCTCCATGCACCATGTCCTGGGAGGACACGCGCGGCGTGTGCTGCCGTCGCGACGGGTGTGCTCCTCCCGAATTCTTCCCCCAGGTCACCGACGCCCTCGGGCACCAGCCGCCCCGTCCAGTCTAAGGGAGCTGAAAAGTGAAGAACTTCAGAGTGCAACCATCCTGCCAGAAGAGTGCCGAAAACTGTGCCTTTCTTGGGGGGGGAAAGACACACATGGTTTCATTTTTTTTGCCAGATTGAAGACGCCGACACATCGTGCGTGTGACCAAGGCCATGAAGCAGGGGCAGAGCACTGGGGCGAGCTTGGAATGCGTTGGGGGCCTATCCGCGCGGAACAGGCGGAACAGGCAGAATCGAAATCACATTCTCCCAGTGATGCCTGTGATGGAAGGACTTGGGACATTAATATTTATAAACCACGCTGAATACACGGGAAATCTGGGTTGGTGACTCTTTTCAAATGAAGCCGTCATGTTTGGGCAATGGTTTAAAATCTAATCTCTGCAGCTCTTTCTTGACTCGGGTCCTCTCCCCGCAGATGTCCAGAGGACGAAAACGATTCCAAGGCATGATTTTAGTTCTAGATAGATATCAAAACACACACACCCTAGACTTCCAAGACCATTAAAATAATGGTTGACCTGGTTTCTTTAGTGTAAAATCCTTAGTTGATTCGGTAAAGCCTATTAAATGAATGGTTGTTGGAAGCTTAGGGCACACCTGTCTCTATGTTCGTTCCAGATCGGGTCCGAATGCGAGTCGGGTCCGCCTGTCGGGGACGATGCCGAAGCATCTTCCATGACAGACCCCCCCATGGGAGACCCCCGACCCGAAGGTCTCCAGGCCTGATGGTCTCCGAAAGGTTTCCAAGCTGACCGAACGACCCTCGGTCGCCAACGCAGAACATGCGGCAAGTCTGCATTTTTGGCATATTTTTGTGTGGCGAAAAGGAATCGGTCTCAACCATTTCAGAAACAGTCTGTCTTCACCTTGGAGACCGGTTAGATCTGACTGTGGGCACCAGCCCCTTTCACCCTGGTAGGTTGACCGACCGAGGTCTGGCTTCCTCGCACATTGAACGCCTGGCTGCGAGACCTTTGCCATGTACCGCCGGGCATGCCTTACAAAAACGTAGGTGGTGGGTTTGAGAAACTACTCGTAGAGCATTCCAAGGTACATATGCTGATGGCATGCACCATCAAGTTCACTCCCCAAACAATGTATAGCATAATAGTGGGACCTGATTTTGATCAAGTTGGAAGCAGATGTGACCGCAGATGACACAGCAGTATAGTTTGTTTCTTCATGCTATCACCCTGAAGACAATTTCAGTGTCGCACTAGGAGCAAGGACGCTACTAGGGGCTCCTGGCCGTACTACTAGGA